AGGACGGATTTTAGTATTTACTTAAAAAAAAAACAGTTATTAGTCAACTAAAACCAGAAAAAAACTGTAACTTAAAATAAAATAAATGTTAACTGAAATAAATAAGTAGTAATGAACAGAAAATAAATAGAAATAGAAATAAACATTAAATAAATATTTTAAAAATTACAATAAAAAAAAAAACATTTCTAATTTTTTTATTTCTCTACAACTAAAACTAGTCAAATAGTTTTTGGTAAAAATGACATATGACAAATGTTGCCTAGGCAAATAATGGTCTCTGAAATAAAATATGCTTAACTTGTAGTACTAAACTAAACTAAACTAATTAAATTTTAACTTAACTTAACTTAACGTAAAGTAAGTTGTGGGTAAAGTAACGTAACTTAACTTAACTTAACGTAAAGTAAGTTGTGGGTAAAGTAACGTAACTTAACTTAACTTAACGTAAAGTAAGTTGTGGGTAAAGTAACGTAACGTAACGTAACTAGGTGTTGGTGGTTTTTGGTCGGACTAAAGTCAACTAAAACCATTTTTTAAAATTCTTATTAAAAGAAACTTTAACTGAAATAAAATAAAATAAAACTGAAATAAAAGTGTAAAAAACCTTAACTTACATTTTATTTCAGCTAGTTGCCAAGGCAACATTTCCCATTTTTGTTTAGTTTGCTTTGAATACTAAAATAACAGAAAATGTATCAGAATATTTAAAAAAAAAGAAAATTATATTAACACGACAAAACCACAACAAAACGAATAAACTGAATTTTAACTGAAATTAAATTGAAAACAAAAAATATAAAAATAAAATCTAATTCAAAATATTAACAAAAAAGTAGGGCTGTGCAAAAAATCGAATGCGATTTTCATGCGAATCTCGTCAGTAAAGCCGCTCCTGTGATTAGTAATAAATCTCCAGCACGTGCTTTCAGATGGAGCGGCATTTACTACACAGAGCCGTAGTTCACTGACAAGCTACACATAATCGGCAATGAATCGCCTGTGATTTTGAACGTGATTTTGTGTAGCTTGTCAGTGAACTATGGCTCTGTGTAGTAAATGCCGCTCCACAGCCCTACAAAAAAGTATATTATATTATTATATAGTATATCAATTACACTGCAAAAACACTGCTGTTATACAGAACAATAACTAAACTTCTTCAAAAATGTAAGATGTGGCCTTTTTAAGAAGAAGAGCTGATCCCAGATCAAGCGCTGCTGATCTCTCACCGGTGGGCTCTTTAGGGCAGACGTCTGGTAAGGAGCGCGGCGTTCGATAGTGTCTGGGGGCCATCGAAGGGTCCCTGGGCTTCCGGAAGAGCCCATCGCTGGTGCCGCCGCTGGACTGAGGGATCGGAGACGAGCCCTGATTAGAGGACATCACTGCGGATCCCTCACATATGAGGCTGACTGGAAGGAGAGCACAAGAACACACATCAACTTCCTGTCAGCACAGGAAGTACCTGTCATTTAGGAGAAAAGCACTAGATTTCCCTTCAAACTAATGTCAGATTGGTTTAAACAGTTAACAGTGTAATACTAAATGTATCAGTCGAATGATGGGAAACGGTTTTAAACATGACAAAATTCCCCTTGACTTCTCACATAGTCGTGTTATTAATATAATCAGCAAAATATCTGTTCCGCCCACACCGAGAACAAAAACAAGTGAGTCAGGGTGAAAAACGTAAAGAGGCAGATGAATTCAGATGCACACACACCCCTAACGTCCTGCAGCGGCGTGTGCAGCAATCTGAATCACTTCTAGCCGTTTAATCAGATGTTCGGACCAGATTTCACACCCGAGTGAGCAGACAGAGAGAAAACTGCAGCCTGAGCCTGGATTTGGACTGTGATCCTGGACTAGCGTGAAGGTGAGATCTGAACCAAAGCAGCGGATGGAGAGCACGGCACACGTCTGCTTTCTAATATTCAGAATGAGAAACGAAAGCGCTGCGGTTTGACTTCAGCTGCTGCCGAGTCAGAGAGCAGGAAGAGCCCAACCAACTCTAGAAAGACTCCTGCAAGCAACCACATGCTCATCCAGCACAACTCACCCAAGAGCCTGTCAAGAACTTATTCCAGTCATATTTCACTCAAAAATTAAAATGAAAAACAATGCTTTATGTAAAGAAAATTTATCATTTTTTATGTAAAGAAAATGTATTCTTTTTCTTGCATTGTGACAGTGTTTTTATGATAACTGATCACATTTTTCTCCAAATTCTCATTAGTATTAGACAAAAAAAATTTAATTAATAATAA